TCTACTGTCAAGTTACATGTTAAAACTGAAGGAATGTGGTAATATTTCAGAGCACATCACTTAGAGATCTCTAGCGCTCATAACAACTCAAATTTTGTCTCCAAAGAACTGTCTCCTACTGCTCTATTGTTATTCATATCTTATCAGAGCATAACTGTACCAGTCATCAGAATTGCCTCAGAACAGAACCAGTTGGAGGACTGCAGCTAGGAGCATTCCCCCAGGGTCAGTACTGGATACAGTCTTATTCAACTTCAAGCTGCCAAGTGCTCATCAGTTTAGATCCTACAGAGAGCCCCATGTCTCATATTTTTCAGTCAAGACTGTTTTCGTTACTGCTGATGTGAGAATCCTTGCTACACAAACAATTCTATGATCACGTAAAACTGACTGTAGGTTTTGACACACAGGTGGAAGAAGACGGGTAGAGGTAAAACAATGCATGTGGTCCTATTCTGTGCCAATTCGTTTTCACACAGAAGCTGACCTAGTCATTTCAAAGTAGCAGCTGAGTGGTCCAAGTGTGAAAGGGGTCAATCATACCTCAGGGAACTAGTTCAGATTTGGACAGAATTCAGGCAATTATGGGCCTCCAGGAAACCAGGATCTGAATCAACAGGATGTTTAAAATGGGCTGGAATCAGCTTCAAACACCTGCATTTACTGTGGAAGTGACTATGTATGAGAATGTTACAGTCACCAGAGATCTGCCTAGTACAGCCAGTGGTATTCCCACTTTACAATTCACTCTAAAATAGATACTTAGATTTCCATGGATGATAAATTCATGGCTGTAGAAAAGACCAGGCAGGAAAGGTGCCGGCTATACTCAAATCTTTCAACTTAGCACTCCTGATGTGGAAAAAAGTTTTGGATATTCATATAGATCTTATTTAACAAGAGAGAGGAACAATAATTCATCCTGTATTTACAAGTCACCAGTTGTTATGGATCCAGCACAGGCTTTTTTGGGCAAGTCTATTTACTTAAGAAGTGGAAAGAGATTTTGAATGTTCTAAGGCCTAATAGTGGAAGTAGTAGAAGAAGGCTCATCTGAAGACAGCTTACATGCTCAACCAATTCGATACACCCCTAACCCTAGTAATGTTTTCAATTTCTGGACACAGTATTTTATACAGATGTTAGAATTACCCTACATTCTTTGCTCAAAATATTTCCCAAATACCATGCCAAATTATCCTTTCAACTGCAACTGCAAAACTTGGTGGCCCATTCTGTTTATGGACTCTATGATATGTTAAATCAATCCACAGTTACATATCCTTAGTGCAAATAGGAGAAAAAGCAACATCTGAGGTATTTTTCTTTTTTTCTTCTTCTTGGTTTTTTTTTTTTTCTTTTAATCTCAAAAGATAATCTTCAAGAGCACACATGCAGCTCTACCTCAATTCCTTTGTGGACTGAACAGGAGAGAAAACATTCAAATAGTTTCACAGAAAAGAGAGATGAAAAGATAGAAAGTACAGATTTCAAATAGGATATATATATATACATATACGTGTGTGTTTTGATATATATATTCTTTATTGTAAAATACCTGTTGGACATGCAGATTCAATGTAAGACCACCAATTTTCTGAAGATTGAGGGATTCTCTCTTAGGAATCTGTCAAATTGTCTACCACAAGCACCTTGTACCAATACACCTAAACCCTTTTGCTGGAATTTGAGGTCAAAAAGGAAGTGAGCAACTACGTGTTTTCCTCTGACTTTCACAACAGCTATGTGAGGCAATTACTTGTAGTGGGAAGTAGTTGCTGACCAGAAGCCCCTGTCTATCAATCCTGGGCATAGAATATATCTAAAAATTTAAAGTTGTAAAGGAAATCAGTTCATGTGTTATTTAAATTTCAACTTGATCTGGCCATTTCCATGGCCAAAGTTCTATAAAAGCATAAATCTTCATCATTGTGCTATAACTCAAGGGCAAGGTACCTGCAGGAGGATCCTTTGGCACAGGATAACTCAACACCACACAGGATGTCTACCAGAGTAGTTAAAAGCAGCTTTGCAAGCTGTTTGTCCACCATCTGACAAAAACTGTGGCCCACTAGAGTGAAGGTTCCCTGCAAGGCATCAGAAATATTTCAGGAACTGTTTGCATGCTCTTCCTCCATGATATGTGCAAGATAGCATTGTTTCACCAAGAGGCAAGCTACACTGTGCTGCTGGGATATGAGTATGATCTGGGGACATGAGCAATGATCATAGAGGACTGCAAGTCCTATAGAATGAATTTCTGAGCTCTTACATTGAACTCTTATGTTGCCTTAGATTTGCTAATCCTTTCTAAAATATCAGCCTTGAAAAAATTAAGCTAACAACATCCGTGTATGTAGGAAAGACCAACATGTATATAATAGTTTAGCTATTAGCCCATAAATTGGAACCTCTTTAAACCCAGTTTAGGATGCTTACTCTGAAATTTAAACCAGCTTAGAAAATCTATCAGTGGAGTTTTTGGTTTCAAGTTGGCCTAAGGTTTTGCTCACAGAATTTTTAAAAACTCTCTTGGGCACTGATAAAAAGTGTAAACTGCTTCATTTTGTAATGTAACTAGCACTTGAGTCAGAAAACCACACTTCAGATGCAGAGATTGCAATATTTGTCAATACTGACCCACAAACTTACCATTTCCAAAAACCTGACTGCTGCAGAAATGAACTTTTTAAACACCACATTGACGAGTTTCACACTGAACTGGCATATTAACGTAGACAATAGCGGCTGTATTTATGCAAATCTTAGCTAAAATAGGGTGAACATTGCTAACACTAGCATAGAATCCTGACATTGCTGATTTATGGTTAGAAAAGGTGAAGGTTTGAGTGAACTAAAATTCAACTATCAGCAAAACTGCACAGTCCAGGACAGACACTGCACAGTCCAGGAAATTCAAAGGTAGCTATGTACAGTTAATTTTACTGCTTTAGATAGTTCTGAAGATTTAGTACATATCTCCTTTGGGGAGTTTCTTTGCCTGTCATCTGTATATTTAGACTTAAAAATACTTTTTCGATTCAATCTTGGAAACTGCCCACCTGCACTCTCTCAAGATGGAGAATAGAAGCACTCCCTAGCAGGCAGAAATGCTAGGATTATTTTCCTTCACTTTTGAATAAAGTTGCTTTTGTCTAGATTGATACAGATAACAGATGGAGGCAGGTACCCCTCCACTACATGAAAGTTGGTAATGCCTTTATATTTTCTTGCTGAAAAAAATAGAGGGCTTTTTACCTCTCAATGTGAAATCTTTGTGGAGAGAAGACACTCTTGTTTTACCTTGTCCTGACCATGTGAGGTTAGAGCTGTAACCACCATAAGGTTTACTTTGACTGGGTATACTAAGATAAAGACTGAAGTTTTTCTCCACAAGAGTTTTTGATTAATATAGTAGTTATTATGTAAGTCTTTCATCGTAAAAAATATGCTATCTTTTGCAGTGAAGGCATATATATGGTTTTCTTATGTCTTTTTCTGAGTAATCTTTAATGAAAAATAAGAAATAGAGAACACTTCTACTTTTCTAAAGCTTAATGGCACAGAAGGTCAGGAATATTGCAGCTAGTTATATGTTTTCAGATTCATCTAGTGTGCTCAGAAATACTTGCACCCACAAGTGGACTGAGGTTGGAAGTCGTATTTCCAAAATATATTTATTCTTAAAAGAAGGTAAGGTAAAGCCTAGCATCAAATAATGCCTTTGTGACATTATAATTACAGGCTCTTCAACAGCATCTTTGCAATAATGTTACTCAGAACAAAACAATAGGAAGAAAAAAAAATCAGCAAAAAGGACAGGGAAGCCCAACTACAAAGAAGTTACTTAGAAGACTTATGTTCACATCTTGACTGAGTGAACCAAACTCGTGGCTGTTAGAGATGTAGAGATGTAATCCTACAAGCTAAAATTTGCATGAAAGTTCATTGCAAGGATGAGAAAGAATCAAGGCAAAACCTGCAGTCTATTTCGGTAAGGCCCAAGTTCAGTTTAAGAAACACACAACCGGAGATGAACTCATTTACATTCCTCAGTTTGGTGAACTTGAACATTCACTGAAGTGTTTCTCTGAAAAGCACCAACAACGCTTTAGGAACAATAACTGAGATGTGTTACAGAAGGGCACTTTTCCTTCTTGTTCCTCATATTAAACCCCCTTATTCTACCTAAATATCAAAGTGTTTTTCACTTTTCCCTTTAGTAGTATTAAACTGAGTAAATGAGAAATAAAAAAAAAATTAAAAATTCTAAAAAGAGGTCTTCTGAGAAAAAACAAAATATATTCTTCAGCCCCACTTGCATTGATTAAAAACTATTAATATGATTTTCTAAGTGCTTACAGTAAAATCTGTGCTTTCACTTTGCTTCATTATGAATCTGTTTGCAGTTGAATTGAAATTGCATTTCAGTTTGTTTTTCCTGTAATCTGAAACATGCCATCCTACATTCTTCAGTTAGAAGGGTGTCTTTCCAGAAGTGTAACAATATCAAAGAATTTATGAAATAAGACCATTTTTCCCTATGCAATTGCACTTTGACAGGTACTGAACCAAAAATTATGGAACAGAATAAGTTTTGAAAGGCTTTCTGCTTCATAATACATTTTGACATTTATTTTTTCCATCTCAAATCACAAAACAAATCACAAAACTTTTTATAAATTGACAATTCTTGTTTTCATTTGGCTCACAGGCTTTTCAGTCTTTTTCACAGGTGCACTTGACATTGAAAACAGGAAGATAATAGATGTAAGAGAGAAAACTTACCAGTTTTATTTAGTAGTTCGCTAAAAAAACTAGACACATCTTTATTGTTACTCTTCCATAGCAAAGAAAGAACACAGTTCTCTTGCAATTTTTTACTGTGTGATTTTCAGTATACCTTTTAATGTTTTGTTTGTCATCTTTTGTCAATTGAAGGGAAAAGAATCGCTACTCCAGTCAAAAAAGCACTAAGCATCTGTCACCTTTGTTTACAGTTACAGATTGGATGAAAACCTGGTGCTACTGAACTTCCAAGTGAGCTTTCTGTGCAGAGTGCCATGACCAGTGAGTACAAAGAGTAGCAAAAAAATCCTGCACGGATTTCGTGTGTGTTACTCCAGAGGCTGTAGGTGCTTAGTACCTAATATGAAACTAAAATACATCCATTCACTAAATGTTCTCTTTCTACATCAGGAACTTGAGGACTGCTGTAACTGTCCTTAAGACTGGATCATGTCACTTGAAGAATGCTTATTGAGCTTTTGTTTCAGTCTACCTGTATGTTCATCTGTCTATTGTAATTTAAATATGGCTCTCCCAAAAAAGAAAAGCAATGTATAAAAAGTATTTCTAACAGGGTTATTTATGTAACAGAGCTATATTTTTACATGTTATGCATGTGAAATCTTAGCTGGAGGTAGATATATTTAAATAATCCTGCAGCAAAGTTGCTCTTGAAGAAAATCTATGCAAGCTTCAGTGATTTGAATTGTGTTGGAAACCTGAAATTTAAAGGAAAAAACTCATAAAACATAAGGGGACTTTAAACCTCTAAAGTGATATTCTTTTCTGTCTTGATGTATGACATTTTCAAATTAAACCACAAGAGACAGACAGAGACTGTGGTTGCAGTGAGGGAAAGACATAAAGTTACCCTGAACAAAACGTAAATATAGCGTTAACTAAAGCCCAATAAACACATTAGTGGGAGAGGCAAAGTACACAGAAATAGCACATTGTGGTTCCAGCAACTTAACCTGGTGTTTTGAGTCAACCCCAACCGGCAGCCAAGTCCCACACAGCAGCTCAGTCACTCCCCCACCAGCAGGATCGGGGGAAAATCAGAAGGGTAAAAGCCAGAAAACTCATGGGTTGAGATAAAGACAGTTTAACAGGGAAATCAAAGCCTGTGCACACAAGCAAAACAAAATAAGGAATTAATTCACTTCTTCCCATGGGCAGGCAGGTGTTCAGCCATCTCCAGCAGAGCAGTAATGGTGACTTGAGAAAAGAAACACCATCACTTCAAATGTTCCCTCCTTCCTTCTTCCTCCCACTGAGCATGATATCATACGGTCTGGAATCCCTTTGTGCCCTTCTGTAACACATCTCAGTTATTGTTCCTAAAGTGTTGTTGGTGCTTTGCAGAGAAACACTTCAGCGAATGTTCAAGTTCAGCAAATCCCTTTGGTCAGTTTGGGTTACCTGTGCCAGCTGTGACTCCTCCCAGTCTCCTATGCATCTCCAGTCCCCTCGCCAGAATCGCAGTATGAAAAGCAGAAAAGGCCTTGGCTCTGTGTAAGCACAACTTCTCTATGTTATCAACCTTACATGCAGCACAAATCCAAAACATACTCCCATACCAGCCATGGTGAAGAAAATTAACTCTACTCCAGTCAAAACCAGCACACGTGGCCATTTAAAAAGCAAATCATCACAAGTCAGGGTGAATCAGAGAAGGAACTTCTTTTCGCCCAGGCTTTCCCGAGCAAGGAATTCAGGATTAGAGCCTGAGAGAATATGGCAAAAGGAAAGACAAAAGTCGGAAGGAGGATTTCCTGTACTCCACATTTCCTCAGGAGGCTATTTGCCCTAAGGAATGAATTGCATCATCAGTCTTGTATGCTTTGCATGCCTTCTTCTCCCCTGTAGAAGGCTCTAAAGGAATCGCCACAGCATTCTTGTTTTGCTCCTTGTGATGGGCACCTTTATCAGTGAAAACCATGCCAAGGTTTTTGATTTTTTGGAGAGCTCTTGTAGACACCTAACCACAAAGTCTTGCATCTTTTAACTCCAGTTCAAGAAGTGCTTACATTTGGAGGTACTTAGTTTTGACCAACGGTCAAGTGCATAAAACTTGCCTTTAGCCAGGCCATGAATGCTGACACTCACTGTTTTGTATTCTGCAGCATCTATGTGTGGATCTTTTATCTCCTTCTTATCAAGATGTATTCTCAGAAAAAGCAAATATAGATGAAAATTTGTTTGTGATTAGGCCTAACACAAAACAAAATGTAAGACTTATTCAGTAGCTTTATTACCAGTGAGACAGATATAATGGAAATTTTCACCTATGTTCCTACTTCCCCAAGTACCTACAATTTCTATAGGAATAGGAACTAGGGGGCTGTGATAGCACATATCTTTCACTTGCAAAGGCATATTATTAGAGATCTGTGCATACTCTGATATAGATAATTTTTTCTGATTGTTTCAAGAAGTTTTTGGTTCTTAGGCACAAAGAGGTGCCATTTGAGAAAGATTTTTGAGGCATATAGTTCATGAACAGGTATTTGATGTGGGAAATTGAAATAGAGAGCATTAAAGATTTTTTTCCAAGAGTTATGTGACAGCTAGTGGTTTTTCACGTTCTCCTGAAAAAATGAAGAATTAGTTTCATTGTTGATATAGCTCCCCTGACAAGAACTGAATCTCCTTTGCAATTGATTTGGCTCAGAGGGCTTTTTGCAGTTGTGAACATCTGATGATCACTTCATTATGTAGTTTGCTTGGTGTCATGTGCATGATACATCTCTGACTTCTTTGGAATCCTCTTTTCATGTTCCTTTTTCTAGGCTTCCAAAAGCTCAGTTAGAAGCTCCTGAAAGACTGGCAAAGTTAGTTACCATCACTGGCTTGATATTGACTCTCACCACTTCTGAATATTTTAGCTGACACTTGAAGCTCTATGTCAAGTTGATCAGATAAAGAAAGAACACCAATAGGCCACCACTGAGATGCTGGCTATTGCACTGTGATTTTCTGGATCTGTGCTAGGGTGTTTTTGACTAGAGTATGTCCCTACTGCACTACAGCCTTCACTAGAGACTTCACATTTACTAAATCTCAGGAATCATCAACAATTACTTTGTGAAAGATCTAGCAAGTTATTCAGTAAGAACCTCTGTCAGAACAAAAAGTTTTATCAGAATGGTTATTTGCAGCTATAGAGTTTGCCAGCACCGAGGGCTGACCTCTTCGAGGGACTGACCTGTTATAGTACTTATGACCCATGACCACACAAATTAAAGGTCTGACCTCCTACAGCAGGTGTGTCTTGCAATCAGATACTTGGATTAAACAGTGCAGGTGATCAGAGTCCACAAGCAGGATTGTGTGTCTGAACCTTCTCTCTACCAGTATTAAACACAATAGATTTGCCCACAGTTATCAGTGGACTTGGCCTGGCACCTCTTCAGAGGCCTATGTCACTCTTCACAAAACTTACTCTAGATCTAGACATTCATTGCCATTTCTTCACTTTTTCAGTCCTGTACTTTTGTGAAACTGCTTCCCTGCACTTGCAGCTTAATGAAAGTAGGCACACGTAGCACATTGAGGCACGGGTTCTTGCCTGCAGCTGCTGAATGCTACTATGCTGCTTAAAATAAATAAGCTAAACCATAAGCTATTACATCTGCTGAGAATGGTCTATACAAGCCAGACAGTGAAAGCATGGGTTTGCTTTGCAGGCTGCAAAACTGAAAATAATTTTGGAGGATTACAGGTGGTGCAAATAAGACAGCTGCAAACAGAACGTTTTTAAAAAACTTACATCTCGCAGGAACTGAAACTCAATAGCTTTTCTTTTTACTAGAAGATGGCTTGTTCTTTCTTAAGCCTGGTCCTTTTAGCCTGTAAACCAGTCCAAACTGCAATCTGTCCCTTCTTCTCATGAGTTTTTTTTTCTTTATATTGTTTATATCATAAATATACCAAGAATAATGGATTGCATGTTCCTGTCATATGAAGAGGGGAGATTCTCCTGCCCTTCAACATGGGGAAATTTCCTCGACCCTTAGTATTTGATTTGTCTGTCAATGCCCCAGGAAAGTGGAGACCCTTGTGCCTGACCAGTCGATCAGTGTCCTCTTATGGGTACGCTTCACTGACCAGTCCTGCTGGATTGGAGGGTTGTTCAACTGACTTACTCAGGGAAACACACCAACAGCAGATCTTTGTGCTTCATTTGAGTGTGTTACTTGCTGCTGGCAACTGCTGGTGCCTGTGAAGGGCTCACACTAACACTAACACTAGTTCACAGAATAACACACTTTATTAGTATAAAATTGTGACAGGTTAAGGTTTGAAGATTACTGGTGACAGCATCTGACTGCAAAAACATATTTAAAGCAATACACAGACAAGTTCTAGTCCCAAATAAAGTATTCAGCACACACAGAATATGACCTTTACCCAGTGCATGTGCCTACTGGAGAGAAGACAGGTTCAGCCCTTCGACTGATCCCAGCAGTTACAATGGAGTCTTTCCATTGTAGTCTTTCCATTGCCTGGCTGTGGAGTCTACCCTGTGATCCACCCTCTGTTCCATCCCCCATAGCAGATGCTTACTGTTGTATGGGGAATCATAGTGGAGCTGCCAACCGCATTCCATCCAGGGAGCAGCAGCTGCATTTTACCCTATAATTTCTGTACTGTTATAACTTCTGTTAGGACATGAATATAACTTCTCATTTTCCTATAATTTTTATCCCCAGCCGTCTCCCCACAGTTCTCCTTTCCCTAAGCTGAAAATAAAACAACAAAGAAAGAAAACTTCAGCACTTGAAATTGATCACTGTTTAGTTGGGGAGAAAAGTCAGAAGATACTGTGTACCACAAAAATCAAGGTTGTAACATCTAGAGTGGATAGGATGGACTTAGCTAACGGAAAATCTATGGCTTAGTGTTCTCATGAAGACATCAATTTAATTTCAGTTTGTGATAGGTGATTTTCTTTATGTTACAGTAACATAAGAGGTGTGATAACGAGTAGACTGCAAAGGGATCTGGACAGGCGGGATTGATGGGCTGAGGTCAGTGGTATGAGGTTCAGTAAGGTGAAATGCCAAGTCTTGCACTTGGGTCACAACGACGCCGTGCAGCACTACGGGCTTGGGGCAGAGTGGCTGGGCACCTGCCCACTAGAGAAGGACCTGGGGATGCTGGTCAACAGCCGGCTGGACATGAGCCAGCATTGTGCCCAGGTGGCCAAGAAGGCAAATGGCATCCTGGCCTGTAACACGACTAGTGTTGCCAGCAGGACCAGAGCAGTGATCACGCCCCTGTACTCAGCACTGTTACAGCTGCACATCGAGTACTGTGTGTAGTTTTGAGCCCCTCGCTACAAAAAAGACACTGAGGTGCCAGAGTCTGTCCAGAGAAGGGCCACGAAGCTGGGGAAGGATATGGAGCACAAGTCTTATGAGGAGTGACTGAGGGAACTGGGGTTGTTGAGTCTGGAGAAGAGAAGGCTCACTTACTCTCTAGAACTACCTGAAAGGAGGCTGTTGTGAGATGGGTTTCAGTCTCTTCTAAGTAACAAGTGACAGGATAAGAGGAAATGACTTTAGGTTGCACCGGGGGAGGTTCAGGTTGGCCATAAGGATGAATTTCTTCACTGAAAGGGTGGTCAAGCATTGGAACAGGCTGCCCAGGGAGGCAGTGGAATCACCATTCCTGGAAGTGTCCAAGAAATGACTGGACTTGGCACTTAGTGCTGTAGTTTAACTGATGTGGTGGTATGTGTATAAAGGTTGGACTTGATGATCTTGGATGTCTTTTCCAGCCTTAATGATTCTATGATTCTAAGTATTAGAAAGCCATTTAGCAGGGAAAAAGTAGCTGTTTAAAGATAGGAAGAAGTGAGACTGGCAAAACACCACTGTGATTTGGAGGGAGGAGAAAGTTTTCAGAAGGTAATTTTAATAGATTCAGTACATTCAGAGAAAATCTGACAAACTACTTAGTTCATTATTGGAAGGACTATATTCTTAATTTCTGTGTTGATGTATTGCTTTTCTCACTTAACATTTCTCCTCTAGGTTTTGAAGTCAAGTGTTTATGACATGATCCAGCTGACTTACAGGGATCAACAACCCCCTTGTGAATAATGGTTAAAAACGGATCCCACCTGGACGCTTTGACACTGGCAATGCTCCAGAATAAAACTGTCTCCATCACCCTCCCAGTTGTGTATACAGTGGTGGCTCTGATCAGCATCCCTGGCAACTTGTTCTCCCTTTGGGTGCTCTGCTGGCACATCAAACCCAAAACACCTTCTGTTATCTTCATGATCAACCTAAGCATCACGGACCTCATGCTGGCCAGCTGCTTTCCCTTCCAGATTTCTTATCACTTCCAGAGCAATCACTGGACCTTTGGCAAGACTCTTTGCAGCCTTGTGACTGTGATGTTCTACTCCAACATGTATTCTTCCATACTGACCATGACCTTCATCAGCATTGAGCGGTACATGGGTGTGGTATACCCGATGAAGTTGATCAAGTGGAGAAGAAAAAGATATGCCTTTGCTGCCTGTCTAGCTATGTGGATTTTCTTGCTACTAGCCTTTTACCCATTAGAAAGCACAGATCTGACCTATGAAGTGAAAGAATTGGGGATTATAACCTGTTTTGATATCCTAAAATGGGATATGCTGCCCAACTTTGCAGCCTGGGTAGCTTTTCTCCTCACTCTATTTGTCCTGCTCTTCCTGATCCCTTTCATTGTAACAGTTGGATGCTATATTGGCATCATTCGGAAGCTAATTCAGACATCAAACAGATATGGTAACAGGCAGAAGACTAGATCCATCTACCTGGCGACAATTGTCCTTCTGGTATTCATCACTTGCTTTGCCCCCAACAACTTTATCCTACTTGCGCATATGATCATCCGCCTATTTTACGAGAGCAGTTTGTACCCTGCCTACAAGCTCACCTTGTGCCTCAGTTGCTTCAACAACTGCATAGATCCCTTCATTTATTATTTTGCATCCAAAGAATTTTACCAGAAATTCATGCAAGTGTTTCGCCCTAAGGTACTGCTCAGCGACAGCTTAGAAAACAGAAGGGAAAGTTTATTCTCTGGCAGGACCATGTCAGCCAGGTCAATGTCAAGTGGACCTATGGATGGGTTAGAGGGAGTAAAAGTCTATTTGCAAAGGCAGGAAAGTGTTTTTTAGTTTTAGACATCCCTGGAAGAAAGACACCTGTGAGATTCGTGAATTAACAAAGAAGATATTTCCTTTTGAATGGCTACTCTCAAAATACCTGGCTTTTGTGACAGAACTCAATCTATACTTATATTGCACATCCTACTTCAGTATTTTCTGGTAAAAAATGGAAGCGTTAAAGGAACTGAGTTTATTCAAGAAGGCACTGAAGCAAACCCAACATTAATAATTAGGGGTTGGCTTGGACGTAGCCCTACCGCATGAGACCAAAGGATAAGTTTAGGACAAAAGTTACTTTCAGGTTGTACGATAAGGTTTAACCAAAGACTCGTGATTCTCAGTGACTGTGAATTATTGCTGTACATGAATTAGAGCATACACTGAAGCTGGGTTTGGGGCAAGGGGGTTGTTTTTTTAAGCAACATGCTCGGCTTTGGGTTTGTTGGGGGTTTTTTTGCTTGTTTTGGTTTTTGGGGTTTTTTATGTATTCTTTCTCTCTTGTTGTATTTCTATAAAAGAATGAATAAAAGTAGCATGTCATTTTACCATTAATTCATAATGCATAGCCACTGTGAATTCACCACAACACTCACCCAACAGTTTATCAGAACCAAACCACACTGACATTTGAAAAGGTTAGGTTGACGCATACTATTTATTTCAATTTTATACAGCAATATATCTCATGTAAGAAAAGGAAAGCTAGAACTAATAATGTTTGCAACTAATTCAGCTGCTGAGTGGATTATATTTTAATTTATTGAAGTTAGTAATTTCTCAGGACTGCAGGGAGAATTTAAAAAAAAAACCAAACAAATTTTCTCACATTAACATGTACTCTGGGGTATATGTAGAAGAGCCATTCCTCTTAGCAGAGAATTTAGCTTCATATAATGCATGGGCAATGATTTTATCTTCCTTACAATGATGGTGTGGATTATTAACCAGATTTTCAGCTGGATAAAAGAGAATTCAGCCATAGACTGGAGAGTGACTCTGTGCCAGTAGAAACCAGCTGAAAACCCATCCCTATGGCCAGATGTCAGAAACAGGTATCTTTCAGGCAGGCAAACAGAAAGAAGAAGAGAAAAAGGAAAGTAAGGCATGAAAATGAGAGCTGTACCAAATACCCTGATAATAGGTTACAGCAGGTGGGTTGTGCAGTCCTGTGTTTGGAGTGCTTCTCTGAAATAGCCTTCTCCACCTTGTTTGCACATACCATGCCATGTTTTTCTTTTAATTCTTCTCACATCTCAACAACTGCCTGTGTGCTTGGAACGACAACAGCAGACCATACACTGGGGAAAGAAAAAGGCAAAGTTTTCCCTGCAGTATTTACAGCTTTTTGCCTACCTCTAGCCCTCATTGATAGTGGAGAGCCAAAATACATCTGAGAGTGCTAGACAAGTTTTCCCTCACAAGCGAGACAAAGCTATACAGTATCCTTTTGCGGCACTGCAACACCCAAGGTCCCTAAAGTCTGTCATTTTTCTTTCAGTATAACATAATTAAAACACAATTTTCCACCACTGATCACCATGAATGTGTTCATGACAAATGTTGGAAAACCACAAAACACACCATGAAATATTTATATGTCCTACCTTTTGCTAAAGTATCATCAGTTTTTGGAGAAGAATAAACAGGAGTGGACCTAGTACTACTTTACCAGACCTAGTAAAGCCAATGGGAACATTCAATGTTTTGAGAAATTTCAAGTGTTAGTTTTATTTGATCTTCACGTTTTCTGCCTACAAGGCCAACCTCAGTGATATATAAGCTGCCTAAACCTTCCCATCAATTTGCCTGGAAGACATCCTTCAGCATCCGCTTTCACAGAATTCAAGCTTTCTCACTGTCAAAATTGTTTAATTGTTTTCAGCATTTTTGCTGCAGGAGAAACTTTTTTGGAGGTTAAACTGAAATATATCTCTTTTTTTAAATATGCAAATGTTTTTACAATGAAAACCATTACCTCTCCTACCTCTAATGCATGCTCTGTTTGATCTTGAACCTGACCTGTGAGTGCATAGTCCCTCCTAAGATGTTCTTCAAAAAGATCTAAAAGGGAGAAACCTTCCACTTTGGACCTCAACTGTTATATTTTAAAAAAATACTGAAATGCTCCTTTTGCAAGAGAAAAAAGATGCTCACAACTAATTGAAAATGTTCTTTTTTCCATCCCTCCATCCTCACACAGCTCAACGTAGCCCTTCAGGTCTCTTCTGAAAATGTTTAAAAAGAAATAGGGAGAATGCCTCAGGTACAGATTCAGGTACATCTTCATATCAAGTAGCCTCTGGTTAGCTCAGATTAGGTGAAATTCCCATTTAGGACAGTGGGACTGTTCCTCGAGAAAGGAATATAAAAATGAACTGAACAACAGCAATCTTTTGAGCCTGATGGTGTATACTGGGAAGGCTTGGAGGGTTTTTTATTAGAGAGGAAGAGAATAAATTATTTTTAAAAGTGGCCCAATATATTGTTCTTTGATCCTAGAAACACATTCTTCTGGGGCATCACAAGAATAATGATTTCTACCTTCCTTGGACAGTGTGTGTGAGTTGACATTCACACACATATATATACAAATATATACACACACATAAATGTAGATTGTAATTTGTGAGGTTATTGAGAAGTTCATGTCTATGTCAGCTTCACTTTGGAGAATATGAGCCCTGGGCAACATGCTTACTCTGTAGTTAATGTAAATTTACTGAGAAGACAAGAATGTTTCTGTTTGTTTTGGAGGTTGGAGGGTTTATTGTGTTGTGGGGTTTTTTAATTATTGTATAGAAATTTAATCAATGAATATGCTTGAACTTTTGTGTACATAATAATAATAAAAATAATAATAAATAAAAAGGATGCTATTTAAAATTCACTCCCTTGTTTCCACCTGCCATGTGTGAAAAACTTCCAAACATAGAAGAGGGCAGGGAATCTGAGTTATGGAATAAAATTATTCTGTTTCATATTGTTATTGTGTTTTTTTAGATTTCTAGATTGTTTTAAGTCTCTTATTTTCCCCATGCGTTTTGAAGATTGATTTTTTTCTTAGCCCTTTTTTTTTTTTTAATGTATATCTTAAAACTTGATATTGTCATGGTCATAGCAAGTGATTTCAGTCACTCCTCATACGGTTTCCCCTCAAGGTCCTTCACCATCTTCGTTGCCTCCTTTGGATGCTCTCTAAGACCATAATATCTTTCTTATGCTGTGGTGCCCAAAACTGCACACAATATTCAATATTGTCACAGATAGCATCTACAAGGACTGGAAAAGACCAAGATAAGGGCATAAGGGATGATCTAAGAAATTAATATAAAATCTTACAAGTTAAATAGTTTAAGACTGTTCACCTCAGAAAAGAGACAATGTAATGTAGGTAGGAAAGAAGTCTACAAAATCCTCAGTGAAGTGGAAAATCTGATTTGGACGAGTTTCACTGCCTTTGGCCAAGCAATAACTTGGGAATAACATATTAACGAATGAGATCCAGTCTTCTTGCAATTCTAAGCAGCTGAAATATGTTATCAAATGAAAAGACTTTCAAACCTCTTTAGTTTTAAAACAAGATGTTCGGAGCTGCCAGACAGAATACTTTTCTAACTTTTAGCATAAATACCTCAACTCCCTTCTTGACTGTCTTAGCTCATGATGATGTTCTGCAGTCAGTCTTTTTCTTTTCCTTCTGCAGAAATTTTCAGCACATGGACACTCATGGTTCTCTTTCCCCGGTTTCTTCACCGCATGAACAGGCTCTGGTATGCCACAATGACTCATATGCAGAAAGTCAAGTGCACATGGTGTCCTGCTGGGGGCTACCAAGGCTAATTGTCTTTTGAAGTTTCATCCATTATGTTCCCAAACCTTAACTGCTGTTGTTGGATATGGTGAAGTACCATAAAAATGGAGAAGTGTTTTGTTGAGTCCCTCAAATCGGTAGAAATGTGAAGGTTTTGCTCCTCTGCTGTATACCTGAGCAGCTTTGTCAAAGAAGAAAGGACAACAGACTTAAGGGAGGTATAATCAGATTCAAGCAAGAGATGGGACAGGGGTTGCAAAAGTAACCTCTCTGGTAGCTGGACAGAGAAATACTGTAACCGACAGTCTGCAAAGAGACACAGAAAGTTAATGCCTGTGTTAGTCTCTCTGCAGTTAGAGAATGTCTGTAAATAGTTTTCTTCATAAACAGCCAGTTTAGTTTTAGAAACATGGAGCCTTTTCAACATTTAAAAAAAAAAAAAAAAAAAGTAAATCTCCAGATCTCTGCTGCAAGGAAAGGAATGTGATTAACAGACAAATAAACCACTACCTAGATACAGAGCAAACATCTCGTAGAGGGACTCAGATCTCTGGAAATGTGGGCTTGCCATGCACAAAAGGTGCAACTTATCTGATAAAATAGATACCCAAGTGTTGCCCTAAGTATCTTATTGCTTGGCAGCATTTATCTTGACTTCCTCCTCTGTTCCCTAAATTTTATGTGATATCTGCTTTGGTTATTGGTTGCATGCAGACATCCAGGTGTTGGTAGATCTCTGTGCTACCAGGGACCCACAACACAAAAGCAGTGTTGGTATCCCAGGACTGTTATCACTTTTTTCTTGACAGCTGTCTTGTATTTGGCCATCTTCATGCTTGTAACAGCAGGTTGTTTATCTGATGTAGGCTCATGACCTGGGTAATAATATTCCTGGGGACCTCAGCAAACATTTCAATAGGCTTCAGGTTTTTCTCACCTCCCCAGACTCACATGGCTTCAGAAAATAAAGGATAATATATAAGTTAAATGACTGGAAGCCTCTTCCCCTCAATTACCTCTACAAAGAGTCTGTCCACCTTCTGAATTAGAAGTTCTATATGGAGTGCAATGGCCTTTTCTCCCTCAAAAAGTTTCAGCGCTGCAATACTGATGGTTTGGTTTCTCCAGTTCTTCATTATTATCAACAGGCTGACATTTTTATCTTCCCCTGTTTCACCTGCATTCCATAGTAAATGCAGAATGCATCAGTATCTCACCCTATTTGCATGGGTAATGCAAACTGCTCTGTACACTTACACACAAAATGTCCATATGTTTGAGCTTTTAAATGAGGCAGTTCCCACATATTGCTGCTAAAACTAAACCTTTAAACAAGTACAAAAATAAGATACAATACAGCATATATTTTTTATTAAATTGATAAATCTTATCAGACTGAGAGGATAGAAGACAAAAATAAAGCCTTTATTCTGATACTATCTAAGCTTTTATTCCCATATTCAATAAAGTTATTTGGGTCATAGGGTAGAATTATTCTTAAAACCACAAAAATTTGCTGAAGTGGCCTTAACCTCTGTGGCAAACATATATTAGCACTTACTAGCATGCTTATGATGTCTCTTTATATCTCCAATATCAGTGTATCTCTTTCAAGATATTGCTAGACCTATTGGCATTAACATCATCTCTGATTGTCCCTAAATCATAGAATCATAGAATCATAGAATCAATAGGGTTGTAAAAGACCTCTGAGATCATCAAGTCTAATCCTTGATCCAACTCTGCTGTGGTTACCACACCATGGCACTCAGTGCCACATCCAGCCTCATCTTAAAAACCTCTAGGGACGGTGAATCCACCACCTCTCTGGGCAGGCCATTCCAATGCCTGATCACTCTCACTGTAAAAAATTTCTTCCTAATATGCAACCTAAACCTCCCCTGGCCCAGCTTAAGACCATGCCCTCTTGTCCTACTGCTGATTGCCTGGGAGAAGAGACTGACCTCCATCTGGATACAACCTCCTTTCGAGTAGCTGTAGAAAGTGATGAGGTCTCCCATAGCCTTCTCCAGCCTAAACAACCCCAGCTCCCTCAGCCTGTCCTCACAGGACTTGTGCTTGACTCCCTTCACCAGCCTGGTTGCTCTTCTCTGGACCTGCTCCAGCACCTCAGTGTCTTTCCTGAACTGAGGGGCTGAACTGGACACAATACTCCAGGTGTGGCCTCACCAGTGCTGAGTACAGGATCACTTCCCTGCTCCTGCTGGCCACACTTCCTGATCCAGGCCAGGATGCCACTGGCCTTCTTGGCCACCTGGACACACTGTTGGCTCATGTTCAGCCTCCTGTCAATCCAAACTCCCAGGTCCCTTTCCACCTGGCTGCTCTCCAGCCACTCTGCGCTCAGCCTGTCACTGCATTGGGTTGTTGTGACCAAAGTGCAGGACCTGGCACATACATGTACATACACGCACGGATATACAGTTATATAATGTAATCTTTATAATTAAAACTAGGAATCTGAGCGTTTGTGGTGTGTGGCCCTTAGTTCTTAAAAGTTACAGCTTTTTAGAGCTGCTTGAAAGTTAAAAGTTAGTGATAAAATGCGCAGGAAAATGACGGGATGCCCTGCCCTCTGGTGGAGATTTAGATAACAAGCAAGAGCTCCACAAACGTTCTCTGTCTTGGAGCCTCGGAAATTACTTTCCAGAAGAGCTGAGATTCAAGTTGAGACAATAAATATTCGCTTCTCTGTATCTTATTTTCATTTCCCCTAGCTTTATACCGTTATCTTTGCAGTTATCGTTATACTGTACAAGCAGAAGGAAGAATCGTTTTTCACACTTAGGCAACCATATATTTGCATCTTACATCATTCATCTGTACACACAGTTTTTATAAACACACACATATATATAGGATGTGTATACTACATAATATATACATACGTACATGCACATTTTCCCCCAAAATATTTTATGAGCTTTTTAACATGTTTTTCAAATATAAACAATTCACCAACTGTGGTCTTTATGGTCTGCTATGTTATTTCCTTTTGTCTAGAGATTATGTGAGTGTTAATGGGAGAGAGACCTGGGCAATGCTGCAGTTAGAGGTGAAACTGCCTGCAGAGCACAAATCAGCCATGTGTCTTAAGAGAGGCTCATGGGTTCAGTATAACCCACTGCCCCTCAAACACACAAATACACAGATATCTAGACATGTTGTGAGCAAACACCCTCCTGTCTCACTGATTACAGGCTTACTAGCTACTGCCCAATCTTCCCCTCTGAGGCTGCTCGTTGGCCTCACGCTAACAACATAGAGAAAGCAAGCTGCAGATCAGAAGTTGCTCTCAGCAGCAGACATTGGCTGTGGTAGCAGCTGGGAATGTCAGCACTGGAAGCATATATAATGTATGTAATATTGCTGCTATGTCATGTAAATTGGGATGTGCTTTCAGCACAAGATTTTATCCTGGGAGAGGCTATAGCACACATTTGATATCAAGTGGAAACCAGCAGCAAGTGTTCTTTTTTTTTTCTTCTACCCTACATTGCTGCTGTGGACCTGGCAGCTCGTCCTCTTGGAGAACAACCCTGTTGCTCTGTGCTCCCCTCGCTAGGATTTAGTTGTCTTCACAGTGAGATTTTTTCAAGGCTCTAGGCTCCTCCTCTTTGCAATACCTTTCCTGTGGCAGGAGCCACCGAACTGGGCAGACACATTTTCATTGGCAGAAATAGGCTCCTTGAAAGACCTGAGTCTGAGCTCTTTGAATTAATGAGGCTGTCCTAGAAAAGACAAGCTGCCCTGTGAAAGGTGAAATGCTCATTCCCTTCATAGCAACTTTATATCTAAGTCCCTAAGATTCACTAATTTCTTCACAGCGGAAAGGCATTATTCCCCAAACAAGGTGATCCTGTGCTTGCACAGGTGGCTCAGACAAACAATACACCCCAGTCGAAATACATGCACTCATTGCAATACATATAAAAGTTGGGATAAGAATTTGATGATCATGGTGTTTTTTACATGCTTGAAGGTGTTACTGTGATGGCCACAGAATAAATGCATAAGCAGAAAAGCAGAG